TATTGCTGGGCAATCACTGAGTCAGAAGAAATCAAAAGCAAGCTCTCACACCCTCTCAATCGCGCTGTAAGTCTCTCAAAAAACCGCCCTGTATTTGAAATCGCAACCCCATGTTCTAGCATTTTTTTGACAAAATCATTGCATATTCATGATCCTTGTTCAATTTGCAAGCTTTCTGCATTAGCCAATTGTATTTATATGGTCTATAACCCCCTAGCCGAATCTAGGGTTCTTGGTTCTTGTTTTTGGGCATTTTATTTGCAGGAAAAATTGATGCCATTGATGGACATAGGCATGATCAGTGGAGGAAGACGAACATGTCCATGGTCTTGGATTGTGTTTTCATGGCCTAGAACCAATTTTAGGAACGAGCTACGGATTTAGCTGCGGATATAAATCTGCAGGTAAATATCCAGGCTTCAACGAGGAAGACGATGACGCGTCCCCCTCCCATTCGTTGTTTCAAACTTCGCACGTTTTTATTTTTTAATTCTGGAATATTACGCGTTTTCATATATTATTATTATCCAGTATGTATACAACTAACGCGCATTGGTTCAGTGGCAAAGGCGTGTATGCATTGGCCTGCAGGACCTGGGTTTGAATCCCAGGTCCCCATATGCTTTGTATTATTTTTCCACAGATATTCCAGCGCGTTTCAAGAATTATGGACCACCATACACCATCAAATATCAAAGCACCAGATGGCCCAAGGCCAGATCTGGTGACTCAGGTTGAATGTCCATCATGGGGTTGAGTCAATGGACGCACACTGAATCATGAAAGTCAACACAGGACAAGTCAAATGGGCCTTGGAAATTGCTGAACAAACCTCCAATTTGGGCCCAACTCCCCCCCCCCCCTGAGTATTTCTATTTCTTTCTTTTTATTTTATTTATTTATTTGTTTGATTAATTATTTTTATTATTTAACTAACCAATAAAACTTTTTTCTTAATAAAATTAAAAAACCAAATAACATTTTCATTTATTAAATTAATTTTCAGCATTTTATTTTTTTTGTTAAATAAATTAATTTAATTAATTTAGTTTAATTAGGAAATCACTTTGATATCTTTTTGCAATAATTAAAATTAATTTAGATAATTAGGTTTTACTAACTTTGATCAAATTTATTTTATTTCTTTAAATATCAAAAAATCCAAAAAATATTATTTTCATTAATTAATTAATTTGTTTATTAATCTAATGTTAACCTAATTTAATTTCTTCCATTAATTCAAAAATAACAAAAAAATCACTTTCTTTCAAAAAAGGGTCAAAACCCTAAAAACTTACGCTCGATTTAATTTTTCGCATGCGATCCATTTTTATTCAATATTGTATCTGTTCCCGGAATGTAATAGTTAAATAGGACTTTAATTATTTTATCGCTTTATTTATCTTCCGCATTTTAATTTCAAGGGTTGCTTTTGGCGATGTAAATACCCGATGCCTTGTAATAGTTAGTTTTAATTTCCGCAATTTAATTTCCGCAACTTATAAACTGTTAGATGTTTGATAATAGGGAATGCATGACAAGATCAAATGTTTAAACCTAAAATCAACATAGATAACCATTGACATGTACAAAGATAAAATTAACTGAAAACAACACACTCGCACATGCACACTCTTAGGGTACACCTTACTTGGTTGCCTTCGAACATGGTCATTGAGTATAGGAAGTTTTAGAGGTCGCCCTCTTGTCCAAAGATCATAGTTGCCTCAAAATGGTTGCCTCGGAAAAATGATCTAAGACATTAGGGTTACCGCTAAGGCGTCCTAACATTGCTTTAGTGACCACACGTCCCTTAATCGAATTGACCCTTAAAACTCCAACGACGATGCTACCTACTCATCAATAGTGGGATAGCATTGTCTAAAGGACATTAGTACATATTGATTTCTTTTTCGAGTAGGTAGATGGTTCTTAAGTACTTGCTCTTTCAAAACTAAACTAAACTTTTCGCACTTACACTTTTCAAAGAAAAACTTCTTTTCAAACCCACAAACACAAAGAAAAGCAAATTTTGAAAACACTTTGAGCAAGTACCTAAGAGCCCGTGGATAACCACGGATAGAAAGGGTGCTAACACCTTCCCTTTCTATAATCTACCCCCCGGACCCGAGAAACATCTCGAAAAAGGAATTTTTCTGTGCTTTTTTTCCTTTCCTTGTTGGATAAAATAAAAGACGGTGGCGACTCTTGCTTACTGCGACATTTTGCGAAAACAAACGCAAAACGCGAACCAGCATTCCAAAAAAAATAGTCAGTTCTTTCCCACCGTATCACAGGTAGTATCGTACCAAGCATCACGATTTGGTTTATAATATGTGTCGTACCAAAACCAATACACTTTCACCTATTGTCATGACAGTACCTCCATCCCAAACCAATAACAACATCAATCCACCCAACATGAATCAAAACAACAATAGTCCCACTTTAAGCACCAACCCCTAACCAGCTACATCCCCAACACGCATTGTTGTAGGTCCCTAATTGATTCCATGTTGAGTGTCCACTGAAGACTTAAAGATGCCTCATTAAACAAGAGTTTTCCCTCACTGAATTGGTTCCCTGTTGAGTGCAAACTTAAAGATTCAAGGAAGTTAAATCAGTCCAGTTAGACATCAATGAAGCAGAAATTTGACCAGAAAAGGAATTATCTGATAATCCTAGATTTGAAAGTTTGGTCAAATTTGCTAATGACAAAGGCAAAGAACTTGTTATATTATTTCGTGTTAATCTCAAGAAAGTTAGATTTGTGCATAGGCTCAATCGATCTTTAAACTGTTTTCTAAATAGAAAGTTGAAAGCAAACCCTTCTCCTAAGTTACAATAATCACTGCTACTGCTGCTTCATACTTCATATTCAATCATTGCCTTTAGTAAAGTTGTTTCCTTTCTCACTCATAGAAATGCCAATTTGAATTTCAGCGATGACCCTGTATTTGTTTTTCTATTTTCACTTCCACAAATCTGAATGGAGGGATCCATTTGCTTGATTCCGCCTTTTTATCAGTTCTGTCTATTTTCGTGTTTCTAATTTATTTGGTTTTTTTTTGTTTTTTTTTGTATAATTAATTAGGTGCCCTTTTATTGGTTTGTGCTCTTACTGATTTCTATTTTATGTATGGACAATGCCTCTGAAAAAAGGTGTTTCAGTGTTGGTGTCCGAAACTGACACTATTATTTGTGATTAGGTTTAATTTATTTTGTGCATGGTATGATATTAGTTATAAGTTGTTTTCATAGGCATGAGTATTGATCCCTCTTTATCAGAGATCAAGGAACAACCTTTATTGGTTTTTATAAGAATTTATATGGAAGAACAAGAATCACACACAAATCAAATAGTGTTGATACTTGATTTCCTTTTTGCATTGAGATGCATTAGATCCTGTTAACGGGCCGACCCAAATTGTAACCTGGTTGAATATTTTGAGTTCAAAATAGTAACAATAAAGATGAGAATCAGACCTGTATTTGTGTACTCCTTGTAATTTTGAATTGCTACCATAAGAGGTAATAGGGTTGCTCATTGAATCACTGTATATGTTTGCCTGAAAGAAGTAAGGCTCTTATTGCCTATGGGTGGTGTAGCTTACATTGACCGAACAACGTAGAATTTGGAGGCATTTGACTATAATTCTCTTTATTCTCTTGTTCTGCTATAACACTTTGCTTTTAAACTTCCATGATGCTTTACTGTTGTGTTATGTTGGATATGTTAGATATAGTTAGCTTTGTCAATTATAGATTATGGGATAGCTATTTGTGATTGTGTTTGATAACCTTTTTGTGTGGAGGTGCATTAAATCACATTACAGTGATGCCTCTGCTAGCATATTCCTTTGCAACAGATTTTGTCAGGCCAATTACTCATGCCTTTTTCCTGATGCAATATTGATTATCCTTCCCTGAAAACATACAAGTACCACATTTAGAAAATTATAATTAGAATTAAACTTGGGCATTTAGAAAAAGGAACTGTTGAGAAAAAAATTCCACTTTAGGAGCAATTAATGACTTGAATGTCTATAGTTTTTAAGTAAAATTCATAAAAAAAATTGTAGAAAAGGAAGGATAAAAGAATAAATTGCTATCACCTTCTTATTCTTCATCATAATTTTAGCAGCTGCCTGCAAAAAAATGAACAATATCATATCAAATTAAAAAGGAAAGGGAAAACTTAAATTTAATACAAACTCATTCATAAAATATTCACCAGTGAGATTTAGATCAATAACCTCCTGCCACTGAGATTTCTTCATTCTCATCAATTAACCATCTCTAGTTATTCCTAAAACCACACAATACTGCTTATGTTTGTATTTAGACCCTTAGTTGGAAGAATTTTCTGACAAAGTGATTTTTCTGTCCAACAACACCTTTCACTATTCTTATAAAGCACTTCTTTCACCACCATTTTTGTAGCTTAATTGTTGGTATTGTTTTTGTTAAATGAAATGTGAAATTAATGGTGTTACTACATTTTGTGTAAACAGAGTATTGAAGTTTTTGTGTGTTTGGTGTGTAGATTCATAAGGATAACGAGAGTGGGAATATTTTGAACTTGGTGTTTAGTAATTTAAGATCATGCCTGCTTCTAACGAGTAAGCTTTCCTTGCTTTGTATTTGTTGTTATTGATATGAAGTTGATATGTCAATTATGATTTGAGTTATGTGATTCTTTTTAAACTATTTATTTTAGTTTAACATGTGATTTTGTTTAAACTAAATTGAGGGAAAATGATGGGTCCTTTCTAAGAAATTACTAGTACCTCATTGAGTTCTACAGTTAACCAAAAAATGAATAGTTAGCTATATCTAGATAACTATTCATTCTACTCTTATATTATATGTAGCTTTGGACTAAACATAGAAGTCAATTTAACAAATGAATATTAGAAATTTATGTTTGTTTTTTATGTAGAAAATGGATCGAAGTTGGATGTACGATAGAATAAATTCCAATAGGTATGGTTTGAAAGATGAATTCTACTTATACCAGCGCAACACCACCACCGCCTCATACCACCACAGCACCACCACCGCCTCATACAATCGCAACACCTTCCCCGCCTCTTACAACCCCAACACCTCCACTGCCTCAGACAATTGAAGCAACATCACAGCCTCAGACAACCGACACATCACCGACATTTGAGGAATCCACATTTGTTCCTACTCCTGGAGTGACAAATCATGTTTTGTAAGGTCCGTCTGTCAATCACACCATGATAGCAGGGGAGGAAGAGGAGAGGAACCAAACTGTTTCTGATGAGGAAGAGGAGGCCGGAGAACACGCATTTACTAACGGGCGAAGGCCGATGATTAGCATTGTGGGAAACGGGTAAAAAAATTAGTTACACACACTTTTTAATACATAAAGCATGGAGTTAAAAATCCTTTTTTGCAGTCCAAATTTGATGTTGTTTACTGTAAAACACTTAGATAATCTCTGTAGAACTTAGATTTTACTTCTTATTCAAGTATGATAATAGGTCTATAACATTATAACATAGTACATTCACCAAATAAATGTCTAATACAAATATACTACTAATAAAATGCAATTCATTTACATAATTTTGCAGAATATTGTTCACATGATCTTTGTTCTAATTTTTTGGTAAACTTGATATTTTCTTTGTAGGTTGACTCCAAGAAGTATTGTTGTTGAAGCTATTAGAAAAATTTTAATAAAACTTTATAAAGGAAATTTCTTGCAGTATAGTGAGCTTAAACCTGAGAATAGAAGAGAAGAGAGACATGCATACTTTGATTTATTTAAAGTAACACATTGTTGTACCCAAAAAAATTTCCTCTCACTTATCAAGTATTTTCTCACAAAGATCTCTCTTGGTTAAAGACTACACTAGGATTGATCAACTCAAGACACCTTCTTAAGCACTGATGACTAAAATTAGGGTATGAAATTGCACAAGGATGATTGAACTTCCAATGCCTCATATGACTTTCATGGATCATTATGGACCCCCAATATTTCTCATTTCAAGTTTCAAGCTTTGAATCACATTTTTGCTCAGTCAATTAAGCAGTTGACCTAAAAACCAACTGTATTGGGGAAAAAGTCAACTATGGCCAATTTACAGTCAAACTTCAGAATTTTTGATCCACATCAACATTATAAACTCATATGTATTATTTGATCAAGTTTGTACCATAATTCCTCAAGAAATTTGATCAAATCATCAAAAGGGGAAAATGGTCAAAATTAGGGTTTTGACTGAGAAGGGGCAATTTCTGACTTTTGACCTAGAAAATGGTTAAATGGTTTGAGGCATGGTCTCAAGAGTTCAATTGCATCATTTTGACCTAATTTCATGACCCAAAACATTTCTCAAAATTAATTGGATTGATAGTGAATTTTCAGTCAACTAATCAAAAGTCAATTGTACACTGAAAAGTCAAACTTTGACTTTTTGGTCAAAGTCAAGTGTCAAAGATCACAATTCATCAAAACATGTCAAAATATGAAACTTATTCATCAAGAAATAAAAAATTCAAGATTTCATTTTGAAAAGTCAAAGTTTTCAAACTTAGAAATTTTTCTAAGTGTTGAAAACTTCATGTTTTTTCACAATTTTGAGCCAATTTTTCACCATGATGCAAGTTGATTCAAAAGAAACTTTAAACATGAAATTTTTAGATCTCCATGAGATCTACAACATTGCTTTACACAATTTCTTCTAAAAGTGCTTGGATCTCAAGTTATTAATTTATAAAGTCATAGTCTTGAAACTAAACACTTAGTGAAATTTTGCCCTAGTTTAGGCAGGATTTTGACCTAACTTCATGGCACTTTTTCATTTAGTTCCAAGGGTAATTTTCAAAAGTGATTCAAAGGGGGGTTGTATAGCACATTACAATCTTTCCAAAATGTCAAAGAACTCCTTGAGATTATTCTGGAGCAGGGAGAATCGAAGAGAGGAAGTTAGGGTTTCAAACTAAAATTATAGGTCATTTTCATGATGAACAAAAATGCAATTTCAATGTTAGGCTGCACAATATTGCTTTTCAGGCCTTCTAACTTGTGTATTTATCCATCATTAATGGATTACACTAACTTTTGAGCTTTAATCCAAGTGGTTTAAGCTTTATCCAATCCACATTTCCATTAATGGCACAAAGTGAACACTTCCATTTTAGAAAAGTAAGCTTTTTGTGAAAAGTCAATTCTTGAGCCTCTAACTTGTTCCCTCTGATCACACTCCATCTAAAAATTCATAAGCAAGTGTGTTTAAAGCATAACCACTCTATCTTAGTCAGTACACAAGGCATTGAAACTTGATTTCTCAAAAAATCACATGTTGAGCTTAAACATGTTATTTTGAATTCTGATCAAATACAAGCCTCCATACTTGTTGCTTATAAATAGAGGCACTATTTGTGAGCTAAAGAAGGAGCTTAAGCATCCCAAAACACACCAAAACTCTCTCAAATCAGAAATTGCCAAAAAACTCCATTGTTGCACAGTTTCTGACCTTGAACACCAAACTCATATTTCCCTCGTGCGTTTCTTGGCCTTTTATTTTCTAAAGCTTCCTTACGTCAAGTGTAACCTATCCATGTCCCTATTTCATTACTGTAACATCATTTACCATATCCTTCATAACCAAAAACAGAGCATTGCACATTGACTTCTCCAAGCCATTCCATCCATCCATTGCTCAAGCAAACCATTACATTAGCTTCCCGGGAACTTGAGGAAGCTAACCTGATCATTGCAGAACCTTGAATCAAGCCCATTTGCATTTCACGATTTCCAATTTTGATGTATTTTTCTTGAACTTCTATCTCATTACTTAGGCATTGTTAGGCTTGTATTTGTGAAGATAAAATTTAGACATCATTGCCCTGAAGCTGTACATGTCCATAGATTTCATTTATATTGATTGAGCTAGGAGAATTTTAGAACTGAATCTCTGAAAATAATTAGGTCAGAATTTGGTACTTTTAGAAATTCTCATTCATCTTTGATTTATAGTTCATGATATTTATATGGTTAGATTCGTATAAAAAATGGAGCAATTTTCATGTTTACATTTTTTCAAATGGTTGAGAAATGAACAAGTTGAAGGGTTTCTGGCTGGAGGTTGAAGATGAAGTATATTTAGGGCAAGATTTGTGTTATATATTTATGGTTTGACATAAGTTAACGAATGTATCACCACCCCAGTGGTTAAAGCGTGCGCTTGTCACCATGAGGTCCTGGGTTCAAGCCCCAGCGTGACCTTTTGTGTTTTTTTTATATTTTCTCACATTTTTGACACTTTTTGCAGCGTTTAGGCCAACAGTTTGGGCTTGATTTTTTTTCTTACAATACTCCTTATTTCACTTATTAACCCCCTCTGACTTTATTTTTTATTTTATTTTATTTTTACTTTTTTATCTTTTATTTATTATTATTAATATTATTATTAATATTATTATTATTACTATTTTTATTAATAAAAAAATCCAAAAATATTTTATTTATTTATTTGCATGTTTAAAAAATACTTACACATTTTTATTTTTCTTTATAAAACAAAAAGATTAAAAACATTTTTCTTAATAATTAATTTCTTTTTTTCTTAAATAATTAATATTTAGACTTAGGCTTGATTATTATTTTATTTTATTTTTATTTAAAATTAATTTAGAACTTAGGTTTCTTTTAATTATATAATTTCCATCATATTATTATTAAGTTAAAACCTTTCACAAAAACCCTAAAAAAATCCTTTTTAAACTTAATTTCTTTCTTATTTAGTTTAAATTAAATTTTGTTTATTTTTAACTAATCATGTTCTTAATTAGGTCAAGACCAACCCCTTTCATTAAAAACCAAATAAAAATCATTTTATTTTTCCATATATATTCTTGTACATTATTTATTCAATTCTTGTATATTATTCAATATGGTTGTAATAATTAATTAGTTTTAATTTTCTTGCAAATCCCCATTTGTAAATTTGTATACCCCCTCCCCTAAATGATGTAATAGCGTAGTAATTTTAAATTCCGTAATTTATCGCTTTATATACAAAATGCTAGTAATTAGGGTTTTGTATGGAAAGACTAAAACCAATCAATAGAAAACCCTAATTAAAGATAGATCAAGCATGAAAATCAATACACTTGCACACACCACCCCTAGGGTAAATCCACTTTGTTGCCTTACAAAAATGGCCATATTATGCATGTGAGGTATCTTAGCAAAAACAAAAAAAACACAAGATCATAGTCCCTCGATGACGCTATCTATGTTGCCTTTCAAAATGATCTTAGTCCCTAAAGAAAAATGCTAAGATATCATGCAACATTGCTAATCATGGTTATACGATGACCCTTTCCCGTCCCTTTTACATCCAAAAATAGGGTTTCTTACCAATTCAATGGTAAGATGATAATGTCAAAGGAAAGAGGAAATGAACATGAAAGTCTTTTGAGTAGGTAGAATGTTCCTAGTTACTTGCTCAATTTCAAAACAAAAACATCCTTGTTATTTTCAAAACAAACACCAACACTTTTAAAACATATTACAAACTTGAAAATATTTTTCAAAAGATCAACACCTTTGTATACATTATTACGAACAAAAATCATTACAAAGTTTGCCTAAACAAAGGCCTCTTTACAAAATACTTTCAAAAAACCACACAAAGCACATTTTTCAACAAAAAGCAAGTAATCTAGTAAGTAACTAAGAGCCCATGGTAAACCATGGATGAAAAGGATACTAATATCTTCCCTTTTCATAATCTACCCCCCGAACTCAAGAAAACATATCAAAGGTCTTTCCTGTGATTTTCACCTTTCCTTTTGGATAAAAGAAAAGTCAGTGGAGACTCTTGCTAACGGCAACATTTGCGATCAAACGCAAAACACCCAAGTCAGTTCTCCCACCGTATCACAGAACTGGTGACTCTGCTGGGGATTTATGGAATTCTTAAAGTGGGGTTACCTTAGGGTTAGATCACATTTACTTGCTTTCATTGCTTGACTTGTATGCTTTACATTATGGTTCTTTGTTTGGGTTTGAATCCTCTACCCGGATTTGGGATACCTTATAGGTAAGTAGCAATATGTTGTGGAAACTGTGCGGGGTATACCGACATGGTCTAAGCAATAGCTATGTTAGTGCGACATATTTGTGGGTACCGGTAGCCCTTGAGTAGTCAAGAAGAATATGGGGCCGCTGAGTGAT